GGAACACAGTCTCTGTAATCTGTAGAAAGAGCCTAAGTGCCTTGTTTTGAGTTTTATTCTTGGGGTGGAAGTCCCAGGTGGCGTTGTTGAACCTTAAAAACTTTTCTAAAACTCTCCAAGTTGCCACACTTATGTAGAATCTTGCTTATCATAGCAAAATAAAATGGACCTGAATAAGCCATAACATAAACGGGGAAGAGCCCACAGTCATCTGCTCTGAGAGCAGCCAATTCCACGACTGGATGGTGGGGGTATCAAAATCAGGAAGCGGGCCCCAAAGACCATCAACAGAGGTAAGGGAGTGTATAGTCAGGGTTGCACATAAAATTTTTGATCTAGTTCTCAGCGGAGAACCTGGGGTTGTTGCTTGGTGCTCATATTTTCCTTCACTCATTTAACACATTTATCTAGAGGGGCGTCAGGGCATCTAACGTCCCCCTGTTCTGTTTTATGACTCCTGTCAGCTGCAGTGTCTCAGGACATCATGCCAAATCAGTCCAACAAGTTTTTTATTGAATTTTTTTACTCTGCATAAATTTTGTAAACTACCTAAGTGGCCGAGGGGCTGGGTATATGTCATATAAACATCACAAACTGAACATTTCATGGTTAAATGTCTTGTGGACTACACAGGTCCCTCAGATGGACAACTCCTGTAGTTTGGTCTTCTGGATCTTTGGCCTTGGTTAAACCAGCTTTCCACACTCTCCAGTCCAACCAGCAAATATCCGTCTTTTGCACAGAGCAAAATAACTTAAAACATACAAATGTTTTATTTGTTAGATTGATTTCTTTTTTTAAAAGACTATTTTATTCAAAAATATTATATTATATTATTTAGATGGTTTCAGCTCATGTAATTATTTATTCTTTGTATTTGATCRTTTAATAAATTACATTTATCCCAGAACAGSTGYATCACAGTATGGTCCTAAATATAAACAAGTTTAGCACATCAAGAACCTTGTTGTTTTTATACAATTGTGAATGAAATTTGTGGATCTTTATGACAAATTAAAATAACAATTAAAATCATTCATCTAGAGAACATGGCAAGTTGTTTTTATATTTTAATATAGGCTACTGTATACCAGTGGTGTCCAAAGTCTTGCATGTTTTAGGTGCTGCCCTGGTTCAACACAGCTGAACCTAAGGAGTGCGTGATTAGTGGGCCTCTGCAGACCTTGATGGCAAACTGAGAAGGTAAATCAGCTGTGGTATTTGAATCAGCTGTGTTGAAGCAGGGACAAAACTAAAACTTGCAGGAGGCCCTTGAGTTGGACATGCCTGCTGTATACTGTATAAATTTTTTTTGACGTGGGTGTTAAACAGAGAATCATCTTTGTTTTAATATGGGGCAAACAAATGTTCTGTAAACAGTGAATCTAACAAAGACTCAGCCTGTGAGCGCAGCGACGCTCTCCTATGTCTCTCATCAGGAGGAGTTTGTCACTCACACAGAGTAGGACAGATCCGTTGGATAACAACATTCTGAACATATATTTAATATAAATTTAGGTTTTAGACTAAAGTCTCTGGTAGTTCAGGAGCAAAGTCAAGGAGGAGTCAGGACCGACCGCAGCAGCCAGCTGCAGCCTCGAAAATCTCCGTGGGTGCCAGTGTTGCCAGATGGGAAATGTTGAATTATCGGATCAGCAGCTCAAAATTATCGTATTTTGAGGAAAATTATCGTACACACCCAAGTTACATTCCTGCATTCTGGTGTATTTGCATGTTGTTAAACATATTTTAAACTACATAAATAAACACTTTTGTATCTATTTTAGAGACAGATTCTACATTCAACTCAATATATGAATCATCCTTTATGTGTCTCATTGGACGTTTGATGCTTTGACCAGCTGGTAGGAAGTAGTTTTAAAAGGGTTAAAAAAACACTGGTGACTGTGTCGTGGCAGCCAGCCTTCTCTTTAGAGACAGTAGTTTGTCAAGAGAACAAAAAAAGTTTCTTCTGTTGCTCCTTTTTTAAAATATAAAGTAGGGAAAATAAGTATTTAGTCAGTCACCTATTGTGCAAGTTCTCCCACTTAAAAAGATGAGAGAGGCCTGTAATTGACATCATAGGTAGACCTCAACTATGAGAGACAAAATGTGAAAAAAAATTTGAGAAAA